GCCTCCCCAAAGATCATGCAGCCCGCCGAGCTAGCCCTTATGCCACTATGGATACGCTAAGAAAACATTTAGACAAGACCTGTTCTACAGCTGTAAAAGAGGTCCAACAAGTGCCCTCTGGCCTGGCTATCTGGCCTAAGGATGGTTTGGGTCTCCAGCTCCTCATGGAACGTAGAGAGACCCTAGAGTGTCTACTACAAGGTTCCAAGGTGGAAATGGAACAGAAATGGGCCATCTTTGTCCTGCCAAACACGCCACGACAGTATACTAGTTTTGAGGGGACTCAAGAGCCCATAAACGAGCAGATGGCCTTGGATGAATTCAAGCTACAGTCAGACCTATCCCCCTTGAAGTTCTACTTCTCAAATAAAAACCCACTATCCAGCACTCTTGTTATGGCTGTCCCTGAGTACCAGGCCCGAGCTGTCCCCAAATGGATCAATCTTTTTGGCAAGAATGTACAAGTCAAACACAAACCTCTCCGAGCCCGTATAGAGCAGTGTACACGATGCTGGGACTACCATAACCCCCGGACCTGCACTAGAACACCCAGATGCCGAATTTGCAGCAAGAGGGACCACACTGAAGAGTCCCATCCTTCTCCTGAGGATGAGGGGAGCTCAGACCCATGCTGTACCAATTGCTGTGGACCCTTCCTAGCAGACCACTCTAACTGTCCAACCCGGCCTACTGTACACCAAGGGACCATCCAGCGGCTCTCCAAGTCACAGTATGTGGCAGTTAGGAAAGCAGGCGCACGCCAATTTATGCTAAAAGACCTGAATGATACAAATGAGCCCTCTGGAAGCCCGGGCCCCTCACCTACAAGAGAACAGTCTCAACCATGATAGATAGACTGTCACATTTACAGATCCTCCAACTCAATGTTGGCCGAAACTGGGAAGCGCATGAATCTGCGCTTCAGCTGGCTTTTGAGAACAACTGTCATGCAGTTCTAATTCAGGAGCCCTGGATTTTTACAGACCGATCCCGTCGAATATCAAAACACCATCCATCCTTTCACCAACTTGCCCCGACTGAAGATTGGTCAGCTAGACCCCGAGTCCTCACATACATACGGAAACACCCACACCTAAAAGCAGAACTGGCTCCTTTCGGGCCATCATCCAGGGACATCCTAGCTGTCCAAATTAACACCCCCCAGAAGACAGCTTTCCTGGTCAACATCTACAACGCCCCCCGCGGAGCAGTGGATGAGGGTCAAGGTTTGGAGTCTCTCATGACACAGACAACCCCATCTTCCCCCTGCCTAATAGCTGGGGATTTCAATCTACAACACCCTATGTGGCAGTCCTCTGCCCGACCCTCTCCAAGAGCGGAACCCTTCCTTTCTTGGGCTGAAGCCCAGGACCTTGCCCTGACACTCCCACCAGACTCACCAACTCGAGGACAAAACATGATTGACCTATCATGGGCCAATAGCGCTCTACTCAACCTTGGGATATCCTCAGAAGTCACAGAAGACCTCCCACCCCTTGCAGACCACGAACCTATCATCACAACCATCCAATGGGGCATGAACAACCTACCCCGGGATGCCCCACCTTTCCGCTGGTCCACCTTCAACGACAATTTATTCCAAGAAACTTTACAAGGGGAGAAAGGGCATGTGGATAAAATAGCCTCTACTCTTCCCCCTTGCCCCTCTCCCTCCCAACTAGATGAGCTCGCACTTAACATCACCCAGGCGATCTCCACCTCTCTGGAAGCCTCGACCAAACGAGTATACCCCCGGCCCTGTGGCCACAAATGGTGGAACCAGGACTGCACAAGAGT